AAAATCCTCAAGATAAATGCCAAATATACACTGCCAGTATCCCTTGGAAGTACAAGCATCGACAAAGTTCAAGACTTCTATCTTGGCAGCAAGATTACAGCCAATGGCAACTTAGAAGCAGATGTACAGTCATGAATATGCAAAGCTAGCGGAGTGTTCAAAATCAATCAGCACAACCACCAAACTGCGAATCTTCAAGGGCAACATTCTTGGAGTCCTATTGTATGGCACAGAATCCTGGAAAATATTCCACAACATCTGCATCAAACTTGATGTATTCCAAACCAAATGTCTCAGAAGAATACTTCGCATCTTCTGGCCATGTGGTGTTCTGGCGCTCAAACACCAGCCTACTGTCCCTCGAGACCAGAAGAGAAAATGGCGTTAGATCGGTCATGTCTGTAGGATGCACCCTGATTCTATGCCAAGGGTTGCTATGCGATGGACATCAACAGGAAAAAGAAACAAAGGACGTCCAAAGGAGACATGGAGAAGGTCTGTGGAAACAGAGATAGAGGTCGCAGGGTTGACCAGGGGACAGATGCAGCAATTGCCCTAGGATAAACAGCATTGGAAAACTGTAGTAACGGCCTTATGTGCTAAGAGCACGAAGAGGATTAAGTAAGTAAGTACACACTAGTCCAACTGCTTGGTATAGAATCCAAAGGTAGTGATATATGCAATAAGGTACACTGTAATATCCATGCTGAGACTCAGTTACTTCGCTTCTTACTTTGACGGACTTTTTAACATCGTGCGAACGACAGACGACGTTTCAAACGTCGACAACGCTTATCACGATGGTGTACCGACGCTACGAACGTCAATGGTGCTCCTTTGGTGGAATTATGAACGAAAACCAATCTCGGCTCGGGATTGTATCGCTTTTTTCCGAACAGTTAAGGATGCTATCAGAGACAAAGACTCACGCCACCCAAAATGGCAATGGACCGACCGTGACGGCACAGCGTCTTTTCGTGACGTCACGTGGTCGAATGCCTGTGATAGGGTGAAATTATAATCGAGAAACAATCGATATGTCGCTCCCTTAGCCACGCCCCCCAAATATATATAATCTAAATTGTTCCAAAGAGAGGCTGAAATATAACAGATATACAACAGATACAACATATATGGCTGAAATATTGCAGATGTGACGTTAAAAATGAATTCACTCACTCACTCTGAGTCTCTTTCCGTCAGCCACACACTACATAAAGACAAATTTACCTAAAACCCATTTCATAACGCTTTATTGAACATACAAGAAACAAATATGTATATTACATGCTCACAGAAACCATAGGTATCGGTGATGTTCTCCAAACAGTCTCACCATACAAGGTGACACACTGCACGGTATCCTTTCCTCCTTGTAACACAACGACTTAGACCTACATTACAAGCAAGCATCAATGTCTGTTACCAAATCGTCATATGGGGCACGATACCCGCCACCCAGCGCACAAAACAACAAATAAGAGTAACATTACAATAATCATCAGTGGCTGTTACCTATTAGTCATGCAAGGCACGATACCCGCCACACATTGCACAAAACAACAAATAAGAGTAACATTACAATAATCATCAATGGCTGTTACCTATTCGTCATGCAAGGCACGATACCCGCCACACATTGCACAAAACAACAAATAAGAGTAACATTACAAAAATCATCAATGGCTGTTACCTATTCATCCTACAAGGCACGATACCCGCCACCCACTGTACAAAACAACAAATAAGAGTAACATTACAATAATCATCAATTGCTGTTACCTATTAATCATACAAGACACGATATCTACCACTCGTTGTATGAAACAACGACTGAGACTAACATATTAATCAACAATGTATGTTACCTATTCATCCTACAAGGCCCGATACCCGTCACTCATTGTATGAAACAACGACTGAGACTCAAATATCAATGAATGTAATATTCTCCACTTAAACTGTACCATATCGTTCAGTCGTGTCACTGAACGGCAATAACACACAATGTTCGTAACACGTGTACATCAACGTGTGTTACATTGCTCATCATATCAGGCACTAACCCTTCTTAACAGCCACAAAACAAAGACTAAAATATAATAAGAACACGAACTTGCTACGAAAACTGAAACATATCCCCACTGCACAAAACATCGACTGAGACTAACATTACATGAGATAAACAATATCTGTTACCTGTTTGACATAAAGTGCGTGGTATTATTCACATGCACAAAACAACGTCTAAGTCTAAACATAAAAGAAAACGGCACCAGTTGAAAGCCTATTCATTTTTGTGCCTTGATTGCTGAAAAAATACCTACTATACTCTCCGAAAAGAGAAACGCATAGGTGTATTTCCACGATTGTTTTCTCTAAACTGTATTGTGAAATAACACTTAATTCTGGATAAGTTGCAGCCAAATAAATCAGTGTTCAAACGAAAGTCCAGTTGTTGAGCGGTGACAGGTGGGGCTGGTAGTCTTCTCATTTGTCGTTCCAGGAAGTCATATGAGTGTTCTATCATATTCATGTTGAGAGAACATGCTGGCCAGGGCAAAACGATGTAAGCGTTGTGCAGAAAGCCGTTTGTCAGTTTTGCTGTATGATGCCATGCGCTATCGTGTTGGTAGACAATGCTACGTGGTTGTTGCTGGATAAATGGCAACGCAACCAGTCGCAAAATGTCATCCCTGAAGAATCTTCGCGCACTCAGGTTGCCATGAAGTCTCGTTTTGAGATCGCCGCAGATTCCTCCCCACATCATCACGCAACGGTTCAAAACGGTTGGACTTGCTGAACGCAATTCGTTGCTAAACCTACTCGTCTGTAAACACGGACCCAGCCGCCACTACTGTACAGGCAAAACCTTCTCTTGTCGTAGAACAGCACGCGTCGCAACTGCCAACGTGGAACTCGCCTGGCCCATGTCAATCGACAACGTCGGTTTTAAAGAGTCAGATGCACTATTGTCAGGATGTGGCGATCATCACCGGGCGTTGTCAAACTCCTAGGCTTGTCTGACGTATTGCCTGTTTGTCCTAGTCGTTGCATCAGTCTGATGACAGTTGCTCGGGTGCAGCTGAACGTTCTGGCAATGACGTTGTGGTTAGCTCCTCGCTGGGCCATTCCGACGGCGCTCTCTCTCTTTCGATTTGCCTCCAACGTTGCATATTCTTTGTGTTCTTTTACTTCTGTGCAGCTCACGTGTCTCGTATGGTGTGTTTTACCGTCAATATGCACGTGCATTTCGTGTAACATGAGAAAAAAGTCGCTTTGGATTTTTGTTTCGCTGTTTGTTCCCGGAAAGGAAGGGTCTGTAGTTGTGTGACATGGCTCAGTATGGGGGAATTTCTTCATTTTTATTTTTGTGAATTTTTATGTAATACTTTGCACTGTAATGTTCTCATTCTGAAGATACTGGATAATGGCATGTGCTGAGTGCGGTTTGGTTTTATCTTGCTGGAACAACTCCCTCTGGCAGTCAATGATCAAAACCATGTTAATCCTTAAGATTTCGTCTCTATACTGAAAAGCAGTTAGATTGGACTGAAGGCGCACAGAGAAAGATTTCTTTTTACTGTAGGATATGGCTTCCCACATCATGACACTCCAACCACCATATTGGTCAACCTGGGCGACACAATTATGGGCGAGACGTTCATTTAGACCTCGGTAGACACATATTCTTCCGTTAAGGCACTGAAGCAGAGAGCGTGATTCGCCACTGAACAATACACATCACATGTTTTACATATTCAAGAATTGAACGTTATTGCACATCTGGACCCGTCATAGGGCCAAAATACGGTCTTTTTGCTCAAAGTCCAGCTTCTCGTTAACGATTACGAATGTTTTGCGCCAACACTCTCCTCATATTAGTCACTGCCCTTGCATTTGCAGTTTCTGGGACAGCTCGATTCCGCAAATGAAATACCGGTATGTGCCTATCCTGCGCTGCAGTGATAATTCGAGATCTATCGCTTGGAATACGAACTTGCATAATATTGGTTTGTTGATATCGGTAGCATAAATCGATTTAAAGCTATGACGATATTCTTTCATTAAGCTGTAAACTGCCTAAAAACGTCTAAAACGTCTAAAACGTCTAAAAGCAAACATGCCTTGGGCAATGTTTCCTGCTCAGGTGTCCTCAGAACTACACGTGCATATAGCGAGCCACATTTTCTCTGTAACATTTCATGCAGGGTTGAAACTTTCGAACGTATACGTGCATTAAGTTTCCAAAGATGCATTTACCACCCAGTATAATGGCGTAATTATAACAATAAAAAATTTCAATGATAAATTTAAAATTCCATATATCACAGTTGATATCGGTCATCCCATATTTATTTAGCTATAAATACCCTATAGGGAAATGTCCTTGCTCAGGTTTCCCCAGAACTGCACATGCATAATGTGAGCCACTTTTTCTCCATAACATTTTGATACAGGTTGAGACTTTAGAACGTACACGTGCATTTAGTTTCAAAAGATGCTTTTTTGCGTTGTGCATTCGATCCATATAACAACCCCAACCACCAGTATAATGGTGAAATTATTACAATAAAAAATTCCAATGATAAATTCCATACATCAATATGTGAGTTTCTGTTTTTGGGAGAGTGTAGTTTTAGAGTGATGGTCTCGTCAAACTCGCTGATAGGAGTAGAATTGAACTTCTTGCCTTCTAAGGAAGGAAAACAGAATAGCTCTCTGTAGTATCAACCTCCGTTTCTGTTTGGCCTAAGTTGCTTCCATGGAGAAAGGAAATTTAACTAGCAAAAATAGCTGAAGTAGAAGCAGACTGCCTTCACGTTTAGTTTAAAGATATTGAACGGTTTCGGAGTTGTTCTGGACAGAAATTATCACTGTCTGTTACCTGCTTGTCATAAACTGCACCGCACATGTGGAAAAGACAATTGTGACAATCTACTACTGATTACCGCAAACATATCATGGTGTGTGACATCAACATACAAGCTACATTTATTTCACTGGACAACCCGTGAAACAAGAAGGTTATACGAGTTATAATGGCGGCTTTTACGCTTTGCTATCATGGCTGCCGTGTTCCCATCTTTGTCCCTGACGTTAATGTCGACCAGGTTCTGCCCTAGGATATGCCTCACCATCTCCACAGGTCCACCTAAAGAGGCCAGATGAAGGATATTGCGTCCATGAACATCCACACGTGACACATTAACTCCCATCCTCACGAGGAAGTCAAACACGTCTTCCTTACCTTTTATTACAGTCGTCATCAAAGGGGTCAGTCCGTCTTTATTTCTACTGTTAATATCAACACTGCCTTGACGAACTAGATACTTCACCACAGCCATGTATCCGCCTAAGCAGGCCCAGTGCAGGACGGTGTTGTTTGCGTCATCAACTTGTGACACATTACTTCCCGTAGACACGAGAAACTCAATAATGTCCCTGTTTCCTTTAAGTGCAGCCTGTATAAGAGGGGACGTTTGCACATTCATCAAAATACCGTATTGCCGGAGCACACACTCAAACATATCCACATGTCCACCCTTGCATGCCCAGTGCAGGACGTTGGTGCCGTTATTATCCACTTCTGACATATTAGCCCCTCTTCTGATAAGAAATTTAAATATTCTGCAATGTCCTTCCTGTGCTGCCACCATGAGTGGTGTCCCGATACGATACTTCAAATGGGCCACGATACATCGATGTTTTACTTTGAATATTGCCGAATCACGATATCTGTCAAGAAAGACTTGCTTTTGTTTGATGATTAAACGATATGCATACCTCTTTTATCTTCATAGTTTCTAGGAAATTCTTGCGTTTGGAACTGTGTTGAAGGTAGCGCTCACATGTTATTAACATTCTCAAAGTCCGTGTATAAAATTAATTATCTCATTTCCGACTGAATATTGAAAAACGCTGGCTGAATCTGACGAAATACTTTAAAATGGTTTTGTTTTCTTAAGGTGTTTTATAGTTGGTGTTAGAATTAAAGAATTAAGTATCGTGATACGCATCTTATCGCAACCTTTGTATCGAGATTCATATCGTATCGCAGCTTCAGTGCACAATACTTTATGCTTTGGCAATATATCGTCATGACTAAAATTTTAGTATCGTGATGTATCATATCGCAGGTTGTATGCCAATAACAGCACTAGTCACTACTATAAACAAACTCATGATCATGTGTATGGTGCATATGAACCTAAAATACATCCTGGTATTCGAACAGCATTTTGTCGTGGTAAAGAGCCACAACGCTTCATATAACGCTGTGCCTTTGTCCACTAAGTTTCTCACGTGTCACTTCGTGAACTAGCTGGACATTATTGCCAAGTTTTTGAAAGGCATTTTGAAGTTGGACGAAGATGAATACATGACACTTTTATGGATAACAACTTTTTTTGCCCCTGCAGTTAGCGTTGGTCTCGGATGTGAGGTGGACTTGTAACCCACTTCAGTTAGCGTTGGTCTCGGATGTGAGGTGGACTTGTAACCCCCTGCAGTAAGCGTTGGTCTTTGATGTTAGTTTAACTTGTAACCCACTTCAGTTAGCGTTGGTCTCGGGTGTGAGGTGGACTTGTAACTCCCTGCAATTAGCGTTTGTCTCGGATGTTAAGTGGACTTGTAACCCCTTTCAGTTAGCGTTGGTCATGGATGTTAAGTGGACCTGAACCCCCTTCAGTTAGCGTTGGTCTCGGATGTTAGGTGGACCTGTAGCCCCCTTCAGTTAGCGTTGGTCTCGGATGTTAGGTGGACTTGTAACCCCAGCTAGTTTGTCTGACATATGAGGACTACTGCCTTTGGTGACCTTGAAGTTCCCTTTTTTAGCAATTACAGCTGAAATCGCAGCTTCTTAACGCTAGAGTATCAGATGCAGATGAACATTGAGCATTAAATTGTAGCATAGCAGGAAATCTTAAATGGTGAGAAAGAATGTCAATACATACGTAGAGAATAATCCACAAGGTATGAGTGATTACAGGAAATTTGGTCTGAGTGAATTAATGTTCACCGTTTATTTGTTTATTTCTTACTATCAAAATTATATATAGTCAGGGATTAAGCTTTGGTCTAGCGTTTACAACTAAATCAGTTGATCTGTATTAATGCGCGAATGAAACCAAACAGTTTCCCAGTTCGTTTGATGGAGATTTTGATAGCAACACCCTCTTGTAAAGATTACGTTTAGTACAATCACATATTCAATACTTATTCGTAGGTTGCAAATTTATCGATGTAGCCTAGATCTACTCGTGTCAGAATGTGGGTGAGGGTTGTTGGATACAAAACAGCAAAAAACAGTCAATTTTTTTAAAGTTAACTTAAAAAACAGTGAAAATCTGCAAGTGAACGATAAAACGCAGAAATGGGGAACCTTTTATATTTGTTAAAGATGACAGTACACAATTATGAACGTTTGTCAAAATTTTGCTGAAACGAACTGCGACCTAGTTTTGGCTCTAAATTAAGTCCGAGTGGACAACAGTTTTCGTTGGCAGCCAAGAGGTTGCCAATGTCAAATACAGAACCAAACCTGTCAAAGTTTTGATTTTGATTGGGGGTCAAAAGACATCTTGCAGTAAGTCATTTATGACACCCTCGAGATGGTGACACCTTTAGCGAGATGGTGACTCGCTCGATATCGTATCCGGCAACACTTTCAGTCTATACCTTGTCACTTCCATTTCACCATATTAAGTGTTTATCACATACACGTGAAAGCAATTTAGTAGTTGTATTATTCTCGTTACACGTCCAGTAATGTCTCCGTGTCACCTTCACCTGGTCATTGACTTTGACTGGAGTTAACTTGGTAGCCATTTTATTTACAAAAGAAACAGACATTTTTTTTATTACAAAACATGCTGTTAAGTATACGACGCCATATTGTTATGACATAAAGCATTACCTTAGAAATCGAAATCCTGTATGATTTTTTTCTTTTTGGGGGTGGGGGTGGTGGGGTTCTTTGTTTGATTTTATGTGTTGTTTTTTGTTCTATTTAACTTCTGTAATCAGTGCAATTCCAGCATCGTCAATTCATCAATGAGTCGATGAAATATTACGGATGAACATAGTGGTGTGAAAGTAGTTTCAGCATCCAATGAAAATGTACAAATATACGATCAACCAATCAACGTCGAGAATCACTGAACTGCACACTGCAAATATCGAAAAGATATTACATGGGATCTCCTCACCCGTATGTTTAATAAAGAGATAATAGATCAAAGAGCTGCCCAATACCGTCTAGGGAGTATAGAGAGAAAATATGAAATACACCCGCCATTACCTTCTACACAGACAGTTTTTCCAGATCGAGTCTTCAAACACCGTTGACCGAAAGTGCACATATTGGATGTACAGGAACCAGTTGGGACCTCGAAAAAGGAGAAAGAAGAATTATGTTATGTTGTCCTCTAAACCTCATGTATCAATATCATAATTTCAGCATTGATCATTTTTGTATTTATGTTCTAGTTCAATCATCAACATTTGTAATAACTTTAGACATAATTGAAATTGTTTTACGATAACATACAAAATAGTTCAAATAGAAATATGCATCCCCCTGGGCACCGTGAGTTAGACTTCTTGCGTATGTTTCTATTTTCATCGTCATGAAGTAAGTTATTGAGTGTTGTTTTGCGCCGCCTTTTAGAAATGTTCCAGTAATATCATGGCGGGGGACACTCGAAATGGGCTTCACACATAGTACCCATGTATTTGTGTGGCGAATCGACCCCAGGTCTTCATTGTGACGAGCATATGCTATAACCACCAGGCTTTTGTATCAGGGTCCTGTACACTGTGTTACGAAGCATTGTCCATGATCACTTAGCTTTTGGGAACAACCTGTTTTTGTCGCCATTCTTAAAACACCTCACCGTTCATCTCAGTGACGATTGACTTTGGATTTTGCTTTAAATACAAGCGAACAACCAGGTAAAACCCCCTTACGTTTACATCCTGCATGTCACACAATCAAACAAAAGCTCGCCCTTGTCAAGTGGGAGTTTTCGTGTGCATGTGTCTGTTGATGTATTGGCAACCCATTGGGTACCTACGGTGTGACTGGCATTCACCCACGTTTCATACAGAAAAACAGGTTGGAAAACTTCACAATACACTTTTTGTCTAATTGCTCGCAAGTAGCTATTTCGTAAGTGAATAATGTCGGCTCTTGTTCTGAAAATACGTCTATTCTCCCCACTAATTCTTTCGATAACGGAACCCAAATGTGGGTAGCAATAACCACAACTGATGTTCGGATGTTACAGGTGAATGTTCAGTCACCATGTGCATTTTTCAAAACACGCAAAGAAAGGAATATATTTTGGCCAGATAACCTCGTAATAGCATTCCGAACAAGTTCTTTTTTGAATGAATCAAGCTTTTCTGGTTTTGATACAGTCCTCCCACCCCCTTTTATTTTCGTTTAGTTTTAGGTTAACAACAGATTTTCAGCTCTTCAAGAATAAATGTAAAACTGACTGAGTAACACTTTCTGATGATGAGTCGGAATTCAGTAGAGATGTCTTATCATTATGGACAGGCTTTTGGACACTTTTACTTACATGTGAATGATCCCTTGCAAGAATGACATATCCTTCCTTCTTCTTGATCTTCTTTGATTCAGCTCTTGATAAACGGCAGGTTAAAGTCTCAATATCGTATTCAATACTCAAACATTGACCATTTTCAGCACATTTAAGCTGACACAGCTTGATGCCAACGTTCCTGATGACATAATCGTCCCTCTCAATCGTCTTAGGTGTACACTGCTTCGTGCTGGATGTTGAAAACACAAACATCAGCAAAACCGTTAATCCCAGCAGTATTTTCACACAGTCACTCACATACTTCGGTGCCATGTTCAAGAGCTATCGAGATCACCGCCTGTGAGATGTTGCACGACTACCACCAGGTTAAAGGATCACGGTCAGGGTCAAAGACTATTTCACCAATGTCTGGAGGCTATCACCAGGTAGATAGTGAACACAAGGTTATGAACGCCTGTGTCTGCAGACTACCACCTGATACACAGTGAACACAAGAATGGAACACGTATCTCTGGAAGCTACCACCAGGTAGACAGTCAGTACTACAACGAGGTATACGGCAAACAGAAGAACAGAGACGACTGCAACGATTGTCATGAATATGTAGAGAGTACGAGTCACGTGTTCCTATCAGCGAAGGGACTTAACGTCACACATCACGTGATTGGTGTGCTGCATAATGAGACATAAACATAATGACATAAATCTTTCAGCCATGTCTGACTTTGACAAAAGAAAACGTGTTGTTTTTTGTTGCATTTATAACTTTTCAGAGATATTGATATCGATGTTTTGACATTGCCATAAGTTTCCTGCGTCTTCGTATTATTATTTATAAATAAAACAGCAGTCCATCCCTTGGTATTCCTCCGTCTTACTTGTTGTCAGAGAGAACCAACGGGATTGGCCGAAAGGCTCGCAATCTTGGTTGATACACGTCATCGTATCCCAGTTCCCAATCACGTAGCCCGAATATTTCTGAGTGCACTGTTAAATCACGAACACTACGCCCAGATCATCCTTAA